ATGGTGTTGGCTGAAATCACGATTAGGTACGAATTCTCTGCACTAAATATCTGGATTATGGACGAAACTGGAACGAAGTTTTTTTTCTGATCGACTAAATATATTTTTTCTAGTCAAGGATACATTTATTCATATCAAGGACGAATTTTTTATCGCAAGGATATATTTTTCAAGTCAAGGATATACATTTTTATGTCGATTAAATATTTTTCTTCACGTCAGTGATAGCTTTTTTGAGCCAAGAGTATAATTTTTCAAGTTAAGGATATGATTTTTTGAGTTGTTAATGAATGAATGAATGTCATATTTTTTTATTACATTTTTCTTTTTTTTAACTGTGAAGTGTTGTTTTATCATTTTTAAACGAAAAATATTCAATTGTGGTAAAGGAACCAAGGGTGGGCGGGCGCCTTGCCCCAAGCCCATGGGCCCATTGCCCCAGGGGTGGGGCAATGGGCCCATTTTGAGACTTTTTACAAAATAGTGTTTCATTAAAAATTAAATAACTATAAGCGTCTAATTCACATCATACATTCCTCATTAGTTGTACCTTTAAACAAAACAGAGAACCACCTCGTATCAATTAAAACTATATAAAAAATTTAGTTAAATAAGGGGGGGGGCGCTGCCCCATGTTGCCCTATATATGGTAAAAGTCCCTATAAGATCACAATGTGTAATGCATAAGTGAATCTGTTTCTATGTTCCACCCTGTTCAAGTTCAAGCAGGCAGTGACAGATAAAGCATAAAGTAAACTTTTCATAAAAAATAATTCTGGTTCAGAGAAAGCATCTTGCATATGCGCATCACGCATTAGTGATATGTTGTGACTATTATTTCTCAAAACCAAGTTATTACCTGCATTTTTAGTTTCTACTGTCTTTGTGAGTAATATGACTTTCTTGTAACTGCACTTGAAAGACATCTTATATTATATATATACTATATAGTATATAATATTTCTAATGGTTTCATTCATATGTGCTTGTTTGGTGAAACAAATATTATACATTTTGGAATGATACAACCAAATCCATATGTTCAATTAAGTTACTTTAATATATTGTTATTACTCATGGGTTGTTGGCATCTTGATGCGATTGAAGAATTTACTAAAATATCAAATATAGATTAAAAGAAAACAAGTATATTACAGAAGTATATGGGTTTACAGTATAATTAACTGAGTTAATTATGCTGCTGACATGGAAAAATTATTTTCTACATTAATTGAATTCACTGAGTTTTTTTTATTATTAATAATTTTCATGCTAGCATATTATAAAAACAATTTTATAATTTAGAGCTTTTGTTTTTTAGCTTACTCAAAATATGATAGCATCCAACAATAATAAAATTAGAAGTGATCAATTGATGAATAATATTTTCAGATTCAACAGAAACCATACAGTGAACTGTCTACTAGGCAGAAACGATGTAGAATTAATGAAGCTGATGCTGAATTTTGACCGAAAAAGTAATTTTGACCTAAAGTTTAATTTTGACCGGAAGTGTAATTTTGACCTAAAATTTAATTTTGATCTCAAGTTGAATTTTGACCTATTCAACGTTTCCGTGTGTCTCTCATATTGCGTGGCGCCAGTTGCGTCGTTATCAGTGAATGAAAATTAATCTTATAGTGCATTTCGGTGTCCAACATGTAAAGTTCCGCCTCAAATACATGCGAGGACTTTTAGAAACATGGCCTCCGATGCAGCCCATGCCATCAGAGCGGCATGCAGCTCATGCCATCAGAGCGGCATGTAGCTCATGCCATCAGAGCGGCAGGCAGCTCCTGCCATCAAAGCGGCATGCAGCTCAAGCCATCAGAGCGGCATGCAGCTTATGCCATCAGAGCGGCATGCAGCTCATGCCATCAGAGTGGCATGCAGCTCATGCCATCAGAACGGCTTGCAGCTCATGCCATCAGAGCGGCATGCAAGTAGGACAATAGCAAGTAGGAGAGTAAATATAATAGAAAGAGGTAGGGTAAATATAATAATGATTAGGAGGGTAAATACAATAGTAAATAGGAGGGTAAATACAATAGTAAGTAGCAGGGCAAATACAATAGTAAGTCTCCGGGTAAATACAATAGCAAGAAAGAGGATAAATACAATAGTAAGGAGCAGGACAAATGCAATAGTAAGTCTCCGGGTAAATACAATAGCAAGAAAGAGGGCAAATACAATAGTAAGTAGGATTAAATTAAAACAGTAGCGACTCAACGTCACTATGAGAATGTATCGAGTAGCAACAACTTACGGCTCCAAAGGACGTCGCGGCAACACGGCGACGTCCAAAGAACGCCGGGGCTGCACGAGATGTCGCAGTCGTTTAAGAAGTCGTGACCCCAAGCCAGGCTCCGCCACCTCCCGGGCGTCTGCATGTACTTCTGATGGGCGCTGGTCGCGATCAACGCTCCTGCAACACAACGCAGACGACAACTTCAAGCAACGCTACCATAACACATCAATAATAGTCAGTGCACTTCATCATTATCGCAGGTTCAGTCTTATCAACAACAGCCCAATATTCTCAAAAGGAATTCCACGAGGAAGTTTGGTGGCTATGTGCTGAATTCATCCAGATAATCGATTTGTGTTAATATCGATTTCAACGTATCATTGAATTCAACATTCATCAGACCAACGCGACGGCGGTGTTAGTAGCGGGCAAAATAAGCGAGGCTTGCCTACGGACGCACCGGTATCTGTGACACGCTCAGCTGATAACAGTCACCGCAGTTATCCAAAGGAACCTCGAATATCGCGAAATATTGGCAAGCAATTTCGCTAATTTTGCTCAAAAAAATTACTATATATTGGACTAAATTTAATATAACATTTTTACTATATTATTAACCTGTTTGCTAACCTTTCTATATCATCGGATGTGGCTGCCAGAATGCGGTTGAGGGACTCAGCGCTGCCTATGAGGCGATGGACGATGGAATTGGCAGCGAACATTTCCTGAACGGACTTGTGGTGAAATTCAAAGTGCTTGCACCCTATCCCGGACAGTGGCTTGTGCACTTTCAGAACCGTTGATAAAATTATTTCGGGGTCAACCATATTGGCCCATTTTCGTTTAAGAGGATTCAACTCGACTTCTGAGAATGTGACGGCATTTTCGTGAAGCAGTTTGAGTGCTTCAGCACCGATGTCATTAAACAGATCGTCAAGCCTCACGTCGCTAGCTGACCAGTTCGTTGCCGATAATTTGAGCTCGACAAGTTTCCTGTACAGGAGGAACCTGTCTTGCGCCACGTCCCCGGGCATCTGCCACGAAGATATCGTTTCAGGGAAGTGCTTATGCATCTCGCAGAAATGAACCAAGTTGATTGGTTCTGTAAACAGACTTCTGACATCTTCACTGAGAGACTCGAAGCTTCTCGTAATCTCCCCAGTCAGGGTGCCGCCACACAGGGCCGCTTCATACCTCCTCAAGAATGCAAGTTGGTCCTCAAGCTTCGTGAGCGGCAGGATCTCGAACAGAGCATAGCTGACATCGTTGCTGCTCAGCAGCGGCGCCAGCGCTTCTTTCACGGCATGAGGACGAGTCGTGATCAACACACGGCAGTTGGAGCGCCATGTTTTCTTAATAATCTCGATAACGACTTTTCTGGAACTTTCGTTGATTTCTTCGAAGCCATCGATGATGAATAAGACATTGAGGCGCAGGAGAGCCATTAGGACATTTTCTTTCAATAGTTCAATGCACAAGTCTTCGTAGTGCTGCTGGATGACGTCACTCAGTGTTGGTGTGGTACGATCCCTGCACTCGAAGAAGATGAGTTGATTAAACGATCTCAAGAAGTCAGGAGCTGTGTGTTGCGTGTTGGAGAATTGCAGCACAATGTTTTTGACGAGGGTTGTCTTACCGGCGCCGGCGACGCCCGATACCACCATAACCTTCTCATGAGCCTCAAATATTTTGGTGTAGGAAACAGTTTTCCTAGCTGCGCCGGTTTCTCGCACATTCACGTCGAGCGCGTGGAACACGGCCAGACGTGGCACCGTGTCCTTGTTCTGCGAAAGTTTTTCATATTCAAGCTTTGCCTTCCACAGTAGTCCTACGACCTGCTTCCCGCTAGATGCCAGCCTCGTACACCAGTAATAAATGCTTTGGCTGTCAATGTTGTTAACTTTTTGGATTTCGTAGTTAAGGTTTTGTACCTCGGCAACAACATCTGCCTGGGGAAGAGCATAGAACCTCCCCGCTTCCCGAACCAGCTCCTCCAGCGTTGCTATCAACTCAGTGAATTTTTGCGCGTCGACTGCGTTGTGCAAGTCGTGCATGACGGCATTGTACAGCTCCTTGACGACGCGCAACTTGACGAGCAGCGCTGCAGGATCCCTGGCGTCGCCCCCATAGCGAAGATCAAAAAGTTTTGTGAGGAGAAGGAAGAGCGGCGTGACATCTAGCGTGTCGGGATTATATGAAGTTTCTAAAATGTTCCATGAAAATCCCATTAGCTTCTTCCACTCTCCGTTGCTGTAAGCACGTCCACGCCTCCGCTCCATCAATTGCCTGTAGGTCTCGTCGCTTCGTTTGTCGTCACACTCCTTGTCCAGCGTAGACCGCATGACCCTGGGGCTCAGGTCCAAGTTACCGACAATGTTGCGGTAAATTCTAACGATTGTGTCGTCCATAGTGACAGCTGGTACAGCAGGAGCGGGGCCGGCAATCGCGCCTGTGCCGGCCATCTTGCGGGATCTGTTGAAGCAAGATATTATTCGTGAATATTAATACGAAACTCATGTAAATATTAACCAGATTGGCTCGGTTGTAATATTACTTCATACAAAACATTCTTCTGGATTTTTACTAAGATTGGAATGCATATAAGAGATAAATAGAAAATCTAATTAGGTATAAATATTTGAACTAATCACTTGGAAAATGGAATATTTATAGAGAAATCCTTTGTATAATGGAATAATCGAACGCAAGTTTGGTCGAAAACGAAATGTTTGAGCAAAATATTTAGGGAAAAATGAATATAAGAAAGGCAATAATTCCAAGGTGAGAAGTGCAATTGCAGTAAGATCCAGAGCAGGAAGTTCAGTGCAGGAGACTCGAGTGTAGGAAGATCAAGTGCTGGAAGATAAATCGCAGGGAAATCAAATGCAAGAAGATCAAGTGCAAGAAGATCAGGTGCAAGAAGATCAAGTTCAAGAAGATCAAGTGCAAGAAGATCGAGTGCAGGAGAATCAAGTGCAAGAAGATCAATCACAGGATTGCTAAAAGCAAGAAGATCGAGTGCAGGAAGATCAAGTGCAGAAAGATCATGTACTGGAAGTTCAGGTACTGGAAGATCAAGTGCAGGAAGGCCAAGTGCAGGAAGATCGATTGCAGGAAGATCAAGAGCAGGAAGTTCTTGTACATGAAGGCCAAGTGCAGGAACATCAATTGCAGAAAGAACATGAGCAGGAAGATTAGGAAAGAGCAGGAAGATCAAGTGTAGGTAGATCAAGCACAGAACTGCCAAGCGCAGGATTGGCAAGTGCAGGAAGATCAACTGCAGGAACATCACGTTCCGGGAGATCGATTCCAGGAAGATTAATTAAGCGCATGAAGAACAAGGGCATGGGGATCAATTGCAGGAAGTTAAAGTACATAAAGGTCAAATGCAGGAAGATCAAGTAAAGGGAGATCAAGTGCAGGAGGATAAATATCAGGAAAATCAAGAGCAGGAAGATCAAGTGCAAGTAGATCGCGTGCAGGAGAATCAAGTGCAAGAAAGTCAAGCACAGGATTGCCAAGCGCAGGATTTTCAAGCGCAGGATTGTCAAGCGCATGATTGACAAGTGCAGGAAGATCAACTGCAGAAAGATTACGCTCAGGGAAGTCAAGTCCAGGAAGATCAAGTGCAGGAAGATCAAGAGCAGGAAGATCAAGTGCAGGAAGATCAAGTGCAGGAAGATCAAGCGCAGTAAGATCTCAAGTGCAGGAAGATCAAGTGCAGGAAGATCAAGTTCAGGAAGATCAAGTGCAGGAAGATCAATTATTGCCGGAAGATCAAGTGCAGGATGATCAAGTGCAGGAAGATCAAGTGCAGGAAGATCATGTGCAGGAAGATCAAGTGCAGGTAGATCAAGTGTACGAAGAACTACCTGCAGGTAGGTCAAGTGGCAGCTGATGTTATCTTTAAATGAGGGCAACAGGAATACATATTTATTTCAGGCAATTTAAGTATCCCGGACACGAACATCAATTTCCCCTATTTTGAAGTGTCGGACTAAAAATATACAAATTTGACAAATTCATATTATATTTGAAACTTTAATTCGCCCTTGCCAGGTGGAACTAAAATTATTCGATTCATAACTCTCTTAGACATTTTCAATTATTAAAATTTGAATCTTTATCTCGTATGCCTACAGACGAGGATGACTTTAGCGAGGAGAATGCCTGGGACGAGTCCTGACCGGAATCGTAAATGCAATTCAAAATCTTTCTCGTATCAATCATCAATTCATTGTTGTTCTTTCGCATCCTGTTCCTCATAAATTCCTTAACTTCACAAATGAATAAACTAGTTTGCTGGCACGCGTTCACGGGAAGATCGCGCGTCAGGAGCATCTTGCTGCGCTATCTCGGAAGACGGACACGCGGCGCTGATAACGGCGTGACGGGGCTTGGCGACTATAAATATATAACTGCGTTTGTGGCAAGAAATTCAGACGATTATATCTTCCACGAGTGAAGTTAAGTTGTATACATACGTGAACAATGTACGAGTTTGATGTTTTCAGTCACACTCTGGATAACGAAATATGTGACGGCAAATAAATCAATTCGCCGAAGGTGAAAAATGCAAGCATCAAAGTCCCTCTTATCTCGCGTACAAAATTGTAGCATTATTCTAGAGCAAAATTTATGCCAGTACTGTCGAATGAGTGCTATGGATGAATTTGATACTTCCGTTCTGATACGAGTTTGAGGCGGCAGCCCGTAAATGATATTACCACTTATTGAACTTCAGTCCAGCGAACTTAGGCGGAATCGGGTGGGCTGCAGGCAACACAGAGTGGGCAACAAGCGCTGCAGGCAACAACAAGCGCTGCAGGCAACAAGCGCTGCAGGCAACACAGAGTGTGACAGGACTTCGAAATCATCCAAAAAGCATGAGTAAGTACGACAGATTGAGTGCTAAATATTTTTATTTATTTCAAACTATCAGGCTATCCGACGTGACTCATAATCCATGAAACTTTAGAATTCGGCAAGCACCAACCCGAAATTTTCGATTACGTTAAGGGTAATAAATCAAATGTATGCTAATTAAATAGAAACTCGTTCAAACCCCCATTTTTCATAGAACATGGAAATCCCAGTTGGTGCTCGTTTCAAAACGTGAAAAAAATTATCGTCCTTCAATCAAACTCATTTATCCCATTTGAAGAACCTAATTTCGATTTTTCCCTAAATTTTAGGTTCAGAGCGGTCCAATTATGTCCACAGAGGTACAGGCGGGTCGTTTGTTCCGGTGATTCAGGGTAAACGCGGCATAAATCACAGTGTTACGGGAGAGCGGGTTACTATTAATAAATATAACAGAGCTGCCTAAACGCTCAATGTCCCCGGGCCAAGAAACTTGGACACAAATATAAATACTAACTACCTACTTCATCGGCTACTTAACTAAAAACCATTTATTCAAATAGTCGATCCGCGACAATTCTAAAACCTATTGACCTTTACACAAAACCGAACACGAGACGCGCCGACGTCCCGAGAGCCGCGTATCTCTTTCAGGGGAAGCCCTGAAAGACCCCAAGCGGCACAGACGCCGGGCCTAGAACACGATGGCTCGACCCAGGCAAGCCTAGGGGGGTAACGCCTCCACGAGGAACTTCAAGACTATAGTTAACTCGTCATTAGGCGCTCCAATAGGGTACGACGGTAGGCGCCCAACGCGGCTCGGCTATGCAGAGCACACGAGAAACCAAGGGGCAGACTGGTCAAGTCGGCTCCCACGTCAGGTAAACACTGGAGGCAGTCGGCTTCTTCCAACGGTGCACGTTCACGGTATACACCCTTGAACAAACGCCTGAGAGGAACACGGTCGGATCTCAGAAGCTGACGCCATACCAGAAAAGGCCCTCCCACCTGGGAAGCAGAATATCCTATTAAATCTCCCAGGCAAAAATAGGAATAAAACCCAGTTCACAGTCCAATAAACTTCATATAAATTCTGAACCGGCAATATTAACAGCGTCTATGTAAGACTCCTACACACAAGCCGAGCCTAACCGGCAATCACAACAGGACACTAACAACCCCTCACCTCATCCACGGAAGCCAACGAACCAAATGGCCAGCCTAGAACCGCTCAGCCCGCTCGTGACCTCGCGGCAGATTCGTTCAGAGAACACCTGCGTGTCAAACCTCTATAACAGTATGAAGCGTTTATTAGAGTCAGACGGAGTTACGTCTTCAACACAAACTATTTCGTGGCAAGAGCAGCGTTACATACTTCAAAGCTCCACCCGCGTGTAAATCTCTTTATATATTAGCTTTCGAATCAACACGCTGCTGACCGAAGACACCTCGTCAGTTAGCGGGAACTCCGCTAACCAAACATAAAGACAAACCAGAATTTTATTAAACTAAGAAATTTAAAAATATAGATAAACTTACAAAGCAGTATTTGATTTGTAGCGTGAGACAGGCTAATACACAATACAGAAAGGTTTAATTCCACCCTACAACAGAGACACGAACAAATCAAATACTTACTGCTGCAGCTGCAAGCCCGTACGCTGAGATATTGTTAGCGATGCGCGCAACAACAGCAGCCCCGATATACAACAAAACGCATACAAATTACGATAGAGATATCTGTATGAAAAACTTGGGGCGCTTCAAGGTAAAAATTCTTCAGCCTACAGCCAGCAAAATAGATAGCTGAGGAATGCTGACTACAGAGTTAGATGGATGAGGAGACAACGCCATAAATCTGCACTTTCCTCAAGTGGTTCTGAACAAATGGCAAAAATGTCCAGGCGTTGGGAGGCTGAACAGACATCAAACTAATCTACGAATAATGGGGGATGAAGTCTATTTCATATTCTAACAAATGTTAATAAAGTGTCGTATAAACCGATAACTATTACTTAAATTATAAAGGTTTCTTGTTTTTATTTCAAATGTTAGGCAGAAGTCTGAGCGAAACCACAATTTTTTTAATTCAGCCAAGAAGTTTGAATTGCGACAGTATGACATTGCGGGCATTTTTCAATCAATTCCTTTCTTTTCATACAGTCGTCAATTGCATTTCACTAAAATATTCCAAGTGAACCAATGCAAAAAAGAAGGGTATGAGGTATAGGTTTAATAGTAAGCTTGATGAATACTTAGTTTAGAGTTACGAACATATGAGTAAAACCCCACACGCGCACCAGAAGACGCGTAGGTGCTGGCGCCAACTAGACTCCTGTGTTTGGTATTTTTTTGTATCCGAGACGAGACGAGACAACAGGCTCTGTCTCGGTTCGCAATAAAAACCGGGACAATTTTCAGCCCTCCGTAGGAATTCCGGGACGATACCGAGACGAGACGAGACATCCCGGTTAAAATAGGTAGCTTAAAATTTCCCGGAATTTATAGCCATTTTAACGAGACATAACGAGAAATAACGAGACGAATCAATTATTGATGTGGTGTAAACTTTAGCTTACCATCATATATTTATATAATAACTTGAGACGTATCCTTTTACTATTCAGATTGGAGCTCGGCAATTGAAATAATTTTTGCTACGAATACATGTTGTGGTTTAATATGGTACATATTCTTGACAGGCATAGAAAAATGGAAAAGCACATTATATATTTTCCAATAATTGTGTTCTATGATGTCTGGAGGAGGCCATCCTAGCTGTAGCTGGTGACATTGGCTGTCTAGACAGACTTTAATTTGCCTCCAGCTCAATCACAGAATCAGATTCATCGATCTTGCCTTGATCAATCTCCTTCAACAAAAAGTCTGGAAAGAAATATCAACAACATTTTAAAATACAACCAAATTCAAGGGGAGCGTCTGCCCCAAAATAAAAATTTTTGACTTATTTGGTTTTTATACTCATCTTAAAGCTTACATTCTGATGCATCTAACGGTACCAAAACCAACTCTGTACGTTGATTTATGCGTTCATTACAGATCGTGAAAGGGTTAGGGGTAATAAAGTTCTTTAACATTTAAGATAGGCCGAAATTACCGGTAGAACACTTGAATAGCCAGTCTGAACACGCTGTGCTTCAGTTATTCGCCTGCAGCCGTACGGGATGGTTCTCGTGCCGTCGTTCGCACCATCCTTGACAGAAATTGAGCTCCAGTATCGTCTAGTCTTGCAACCTAGCACCCTTGAATTTCTATTTAGAGGCGCGTGCGACTTTGTGAGGCTCTACTGAAAAGTTATCCTATTGTCACTGCAAACCTATCTCCTCCTTGAGTTTTGAAGCTACATCAATGAGAGATATACCGTTCGAATCACAAATAAAAGATGTACAAATGTTGCAGACGTTTTTTCTAATTTCGTTATAGTTTGGATTTTATTCTGCAAAAAGAGAGGGGTGGCGGGGGTGAAATGAAAAAATTTCCGAAAAATTCATGAAAAATGCTCCCATACCCACAAAAATGAGAATTTCAAAAAACGGTCTGCATCAGTTTTAGATATGGTCTTTACGCATCGAATGATGTTTCTCAATGTTGTAGCTTGAAAATCCTAGGTGGAGAGAGATTTCTACAGTACCGTACCCTCTTTTTTGTCCGTTTTCTAAGAATTTCACGTTTTCTTTCATTTTTTCGAAAATTCACACAAACAAAAAAGTCTTAGAATTTCGTTTTACATATGTGTACCGAA